TGTTCAAGGTTAAAATCTAGGAGATGGCGTTCCAAAAAATTATGAAGGTTACGAAAGATTTATAAACCACTCGGTATGTGGGTCTAAAGTGCTGGCCAAATCAGCATCTGTTTCTCTTAGGTGGGGGAAGGGGGCGTTTTGAATAGACTTCTGATTAGAACTATCATACAATAAAATCAAATTGGCTGGGAGATTCCACCGATCTTGATTTGCTGGTCGTGTGCAGACTTGTAAAGGAAATTGTTGCAAATATGTTTCGCCCCGATAAACAAAATTAGATAATTTAGGAGCTAGGCTGCTTCGATCTTGCCAACCTGGGCTAGGTTTGATAGCATCCTAGCACAAAGACAAAGCTACCCGATGAAATAGAATTCCTCTCGAACAGCCTGACTATTGCACGAAAGACACTGGCAATATTTTGTGTTAAATTTAACCACCTATTTCCAGCAGATACCAGACCAGATTATTTAGACAGCCATGTCTTGTCGGAAGTACCTTCAGTTTGTTGAGGGGGGCGGGGTGCTCTTACAGTGCATAACAACGGGGCCGCTTTTCATTAAAAAGTGGTGACCTAATCGTCCCAATGATTGATTGCATGTAATCTGAAAAAACTGTTTGCTCAAATTGGAAGAAGACTTTTGTATTTTTTGTTGTTGTTGTTGTTGTTGTTGTTGTTGTTGTTGTTGTTGCTGCTGTTATTGTTGCTTTTGTTTTTTGTGGGATTTTCTTTTTTCTTTTTTTTTGGGGGGGGAGGGGGCCTCGGGTTGTTTTAATTTTTGTTTGTTTGTTGTTGTTTTTTAAGTGACTCCCTCAGAAGGAAAAATGCATCCAAGATTCAAGATGGCCCAAAAACGTCGGTTCTACGTAGAAGTGGGGAGGGACTCACCTTACCTTTATTGTTAACCATGACAATACTTTTTTAACGGAATTCTTCCTGGGAATGTTTAGGTTGAACTAACGGGATCTACCAGTGGTGCCCTCATGTCACTTGAGTATAAACTACAGATGCACACACACACACACACACACACACACACACACACACACACACACACACTCACACACACACAAACAAACACACACACACATACACACACACACACACACAAATGCAACAAGTACACACACATACACACACG